CGGCACGGTGGCGCACTTCTCAAGTGTGCCGCTTGGGAGCGTGGTGGCGCTCCCACTGAGGGTTCGGATCCCACATACAGACCGGTTCCCACTCACTGGCTGAGCGAGGTGTGGGAGCAACACCGAGGGTTGCGATCCCGTTGCCGGTCCCGGTCCGGTACAGGCGCGACACTGAGGGTTGTGATCCGTTGCCGGACACGAAAAAAGACAAAAAGGAAAAAAAAAAACTGTCTGTAGAGCCTATGAACAAATAAAATCACTACAATGAACCAGTTGTCAATGCCCTGTGTCCACTCTGTACACATAAAAGACCATTCATGGATGAGCTGAGTGGAGAAAACCCACCCTGCTTCACATCTCACTAGTCAACAGTGCTGGATCTTCACAACTGGAAATAACATATTCCTAGAAAAGCACAGTTATATCCATAGTGTTAGTGTCGTGATTGTTTTTAAAAACTACATTTTAAACAGAAAGACATTTTTCAGACTCGTGTCTTTGTGACATCAGTACCCCATTGAACAGTGTCCAGACAGGTGACCTGCTATTTGTTTTGATCAACAGAAACATTACACCTGAATTTTTTTCTCCTGTAAATTGATTGAACTGATTGTTGTCAACAAGTCAAATGCTCCAAGAAAAGTATAAACCTCAGAGCTAAATATAACCTTTGTTTTGTTTCTTGATTCAGGTCTAGCAAGGTAGATACTTTAGTGTGTCTATTTTTACCGTTGTGGTTGGCAGTTTGGGGTGGGAGTTAAATATATCATATTTATTTTTATTTTTTTTCCCCTTTTTGTCTTTTTTTCGTGACCGGCAATGGATCGCACCCTCAGTGTCGCGCCCGTACCGGACCGGGACCGGCAACGGGATCGCAACCCTCGGTGTTGCACCCGCACCTCGCTCAGCCAGTGAGCGGGAACCGGTCTGTATGTGGGATCCGAACCCTCGGCGGGAGTGCCGCCGCACTCTCAAGTGGCGCACTGTAGCAGTGCGCCACCAGGCTGGCCCCTAAATATATCATATTTAAAATGCAATATTAACACTGACTAATAATATCACAACTAATAATATTCGTAGCACATAATATTTTCACATTCCTCATCTCATTGGATCACCCTGAAAACTCAATAGTGACTGTTTTTGCTTACTGATGGGGATCCTAATCTTCAGAGAGGTAAAGTGACATGCTGTGTGACTTTCTCAAGGTCACAGAGCATGCAGGCTCATGAGCCAGTGTTCAGGCTTACGTCCCTGCTCACTCCATCATGTCATATGCCTTTCAGATGTACACCTGTAACAGACGTAAGTGGCAAACCAAAAAGCAGGTCAAAATAAATAATACAGTTATCAAAATATTTGAAGCTAAAGATTTTACAATACGGCTAGTAAAACGTGTGTTTTTTAAACTATTGTTTGAATAAAGATTGTTAGTGTTGTTCCATAATCTATCTCAGTTCGAGTCCTGTTCCTGTGGATTGCCAAAGGTCGGCTATGGACATTTATTCATTTAAAAGCAACTTTTGCATTTTAAGCAAATTCCTTCTAAGAGTTAGTGGCAATTATTTGACATCCCTTTAATGAATTATAAAGATAAAGATTTTCCTGGACTAACCCTTGACAACTACGCATTACAAAGAATAGCCTCCACATGTCTTCTTTTCGGAAAAATTCTTATCAGTTGCTTTAAAATTCAACTACACCTCCCCCTGCCCTATGCCTGGTTTTATTGGGGTTGACATCAATCTAAAAGGGTTTAACTTTGTTCCTGCACTACAAAAAGGCATCTGTTAGAAACAAACTCAGTTGATCCATATATCTAGTTGAAATATAATACAGAGCAACACACGGATCCTAAGTACAAATTGCATTTCTCTCGCCACAGCACTATAAGCCTACATTGTGGGAACTGTCCCGTGCCTCATATTCTGATTATTATAGAAGCCTTCTCATCCAGCGTCCTTCAGGCAAGGGTCTTCAATTGGTCTTCAGAGAGAGGATTAAGGCCAGTATGGAAGCTCTCACCAGCCTAGACCCCTCTGTAAATAACTGTAACACCAGAAAGAAGCATAATGGGCAGGACCGTGGGCTGGCAGCATTTATGGACAGCCAGCCACACGCCTACATTTCCAGCATCCAGTGCACAGGGTGCTCACCTGTACAGCTTGCAAGAGAGATGGGATGGGGGGGAGTAAGGCTTTCTGCTGAGGGTCTGGATTCCAAGCATTTTGCAAAACTAAGTCAGCATCATCAGCAATAAACAGTACTCTTTCATATGAAACAATAAGCTGAATTTAGGAGCACCAGAGACTCATCCAGGAAGTAAATGAGATCTATTAGAGTCAATTCAGGTCTGCAGCAGATGACTTGAGGGCAATGCTTAACTTGGTACCAGTAAAGACACTGGACTAGAAATGATCACTACTAGAGAAAAAATACACACACATGTACACACATACGCATATGTGCACAGATATACACATTCACACATGTATGCAGATGTGCACACACATGCATATATGTGTGTGCACACATGTACACATACTTAAAACACATGCACAAACAGGCACACCTATAGTACACACATAGAAATACATGTGCACATGAACATGCACACACTCTTTTGCAGAGATATACATATTCACACACACTAATGCACATGCACATACACATGCTCTCATGCACAGATGATTCACGCACCCATGCACACATATGCAATACTCTTTTGCACAGAGATATACATATTCACACACACTAACGCACATGCACATACACATGCTCTCATGCACAGATGATTCACGCACCCATGCACACATATGCACACTAACAGACACATGCACACACAAACACACAGACAACACACATGCACACACAAACATGCAATTAGTTTCTCTTATTTAAGTCTCAGAACCAATAAAAGGAAAGGTTTTTTTTGGTTTTTGTTTTTCAAATTGTTTAACTAGAAATTAATCTAAAATGCTTGAGAAGTACTGACATTTTAGTCTCCTAAATTGCCTTGAGGAAAACAGACATATCATGCAAGTCAGTTGCCCTCAGCAGCAATGCCGGGCCAGAATCTGCCCTTTTCTGACACATGGCAAACCGGACATGTTTGGTTTTGTTTATTACCATAGGTAGAGATTATATCTGTATGGGCTGATACACCTTTTGAGTGGAAGCAGATATATTTCTAAGTGAAATAGTATAGACACAGGTCTTTAATCCAACTATACTGTAAGTGCCTCAGGAGAAATTGCTATAGGAGATTTGCTGGGGTTTTTCATAGAAGCAATTAATTACTGAAAATCAACATATTGTCAGTAAGTGTTACATTTTCAAGTAAATATATTGCCTCAAGCATCTTCTAAAAATATGATAGAATGAGAAATATAAATTATAAATTAACATCACCCCCAACCCTTCAACCACCCTTCTGTAGTTCTCTGGCACTCCCTGGAAGGAGGTTCTACTTGAAACATGCAGAAGGAGGAACCTGTATTCCCGGACCATCTGCCCTGTCCTCTCCCTGGCTCATCACCCATCAGCCTGTGCGGAGCAGCAGGCGGCCACCTCCACTGTGCCTGTGGCTGTGGATCTGCCTGTTCTACCTCCTAAGCCTTCTGTAAGGAGCTGTGTGAACATGGCTCTTAGCCACTTGCACGGAACCTGAGTACTGGTACATTTTAATTAATAATTGAGCAGGGGAGTCCTCAGGCTCCATGCACACTGTTGATCCTCAGGGACATTAAGAATTTAGAACTCCTTTGTCTGCACTGAAGCAGTGATGTGCTAAGGTCTACCTGCCGCCCCCTTCTGCAAGCTTTGCACGAAAGGAGTTCTGCATTCATCTGTTCGCCACTGTGATCCGGAAAGCCTTTTCTTCCTCTGGAAGATGACTGATTCCAAGGTACAGAACAGACTGGAACTTCATTTCATTTGTTCCTTGCCTGCTACCAGAACTGGATAACACAGATAGCTCAGGCTACTCAGCAAACACTCCAGCCTTCCCTGGGAAGGCTGGCCCTCTGTCCTCCCCTTCCCTTGAGTTCTTTACACATAAGAGGGGACCCCTTGAGTCTTGGTCCTGCTTCATTTGTCCTGCCTCTGCTGGCCTCACTAGAATTCCCACCAGCATCAGGTGGGTGGAATTTTCACAGCCCATTTGTATTGTGTTGGAGCCCTGTGTCCTTATGAAAGTAATGCTAGAGGGGACATCTGAGGCTCAAGAAGAAAACATTACAAGCAACAAAAAGAACAAAAGCATTGGGCGGTCAAAAGGATTCTGCTGATGCCAGAATATTTGTCCCACACCAAAACGACAGTGGAGACAGGTTCGGGGGGTTGGAGACAACTGAGAGAGGGGTTTAAACAGGGCCTGGAGTGTGCCTGGAGGTACAATGGACAGAAGGCACCTCCAAGTCCCACTTCCACTTCTATAAAGGGGGTGTGATGCCTCTCTCAGCTAAACAGGCAGCAGAGCAACTCCTCCCCAACCATTCACAGTTCTGTCTCTCCGTTGCTTTTTTCTCTTATCTTGGTGATGTTTGACATATGCAAATGAAACCTGAGCATGTCTGCACAATGAAACACTTCAGCATATTCAATCTGCCCATATGGGGCATAATCACAGGAATATATACAGCGTGGCTAAACTTCATAGGATCCATTTTGTGGAACTAGTAACATTGAAGAGGTCAGATCATGGTGAGGATCGGCAAACCCGTCTGTGTTATGCCAGCTTCTCTAGAAAAGTAGTAGAGTTTGCTTTGTGTCAGTAAGCAGTAAAAAAGTCAGCCATAGGTGGATAGACAGATGATAGACAGATAGACTGACTTACTGATAAATGATAGATTGTTGGATAGATATAGATAAGATTCACTGATAGATAGATAGATGATGGCTAAATAGGTAGAGACAGATAAATAGGCGATAGATATACATACACACACACATATATGTATACACCGCACATTTTTTTAAAACTCTCACAGGAAGTAAAAGATAGCTGAAAGTGAGAATTTGGAAATTATGTTTTAATGAGCACCTGCTGTGCTGCTTCTCAGTGGTCGTGTCCGATGGCAGAGACTGGCCGACAGTGTGTGATTCCAGGTATTAGCACAGAACTGCCACTGATGCTTTTAGGGGACTGTGCGACGGCTCACATGCTCCCCCTAAGCCATATTGATCATGTCCCAGTTACACACTCACCTTAACTCACCGGCCTGCCTGGTGCTTAAAAGGAACCTGGTACAGTCAGTTTGGGGAACCAACCACACACCAAGCACACAGCACTGGTCTTCAGAGATGCCAAGGCGGCTTGGCTCTGGGACAGCATCCGTGCAATTCCACCTGCAGTGAAGTCACTGCACTCTCGAGCACAGAGCAAGGCGAGCCCAACTGTGCCCCATCTCTCTGTCTTCTTTGCTTGCTTGTTTGTCTGCCTCCTCCAGGGCAGGCAGAGACTCCATCTTTTATGCCCTAACTAACATTTGCCTAGACAGCTAGATTAATTCTTGAATTGAGTATTATTCTGAGGAATGATAATATAATTAAACAATTAGATCATGGTTTTCTGGAATACAGTAGCACGATGCCCGTGAGCCCCGTCACCTGCTGCCTGGATTATTGCAGCAGCCTTCTCGCTGCTGTCCTGGCCACCCTGCACCATCTGGTTACCCTCAACACCGACACGTAGCTGGCTCCATTCAAGAGAAGAGAGGTCTGGAACATCTGTTCAAGAAAAAGTCATTCGTTCACTTGCTAAAGCATAGAAAGGCAGACTTTATTCAGGACCATCACGGCAAGTGCAGGGACCACTGCAGTGGGGCTTTGCAGTGGAGGAGAGATTGGGCTCATCTCTAAATATAACAAGGAAAAGTAGGAATGTGTAGCCAAGGAGCAGGGTGGGGGAGGAGGTGGGCATCAGTGGATGGCAAATTACTAAGAGGAAAACAGCAGGGGTGAGGGGGATCCTGGCTAAACTGGCCTAACAGGATTCTTGCAGAAGGCAGAGGAGGGTGATAGGACATCACCCAGGGGGACAGAGGGATGTGGAAGATGGGGAACCTGATCGGGTACGAGGGTGGGTTATCAGATATCGAGGGTGGGGGATTCTGCCTAAACCAACTTAGCAAGATTCTTTCTAAAACTGGACAATGCAGAAAGGAACATGGAAGTCCACAAGTCAGGCCGAGTGGGAAAAAATTCATGGAGCCTGAGCAGAGTCTGGTCCAGGAGAGAATCTACGTAACATCCCTGCTGGGCTTCCTGGAACCCCCCTCTGACTTGATTCTCAGAATCTCATTTTATATCCACAAAGGACGTACAATCCTGTGTAGCAGGGTGTGTAGGTGACTCTTCTGATTTCAGGCTGCCACTGAGAACAAAGGGCCCACACATTTTAGGAGAGGGCAGCTTTGCAGGCAAGACTTGCCAAGGGGCAGCGCCTAGCCTGCTCTGCCACCTGGATCCTCGCTCCCCCAGGGTGGGGGAAGGCCACAAGGAGGCAGGGCGAGGTCTCTTTGAAGAAGATGGGGGTACTTTGCTTGTCACCTCCATCCCCATGAGGATGGGCGTGTTCTCCCCACCTCTTGCCAATGAGGGTGATTTGTGAGAATCCTCTGGAAAGCCAGGCATGTGTGCCCTGAGCTGGTGCCTGACCCTGGCCTGGTGAATGTCAGACTCAGAAGCTGCCTAGAGGTTTTTGTAAGAGCAGAGTGGGAGAGACTGAGCAGCTTGTGTCCTGAGAGCAGACGAACATCACAGGCACAAGCCACGGAAGCCTCCTGGGGGGACAGGGGGCTTCCAGCAGGACTGGGACAGCTGCATGTAGTGCTTGACTCTGCTAGGGTGACAGGTTAATAGAGACATCGGGACATAAGGACCATCTTCTGAGAACCCCCAGGAGCTCCCAACAGGACTGGGGGAAGGAAGAATGAGGAGTTGGTGTTTAATGGGGGCAGAGTTTCAGTCTGGGAAGATGACGAAGTTCTGGGGATGGATAGTGGAGATGGGTGCACTATGGGGTGGATGTACTTAATGCCACTGAACTGTTCACTTAGATATTAAGATGGCCAATTTTATGTTATGTGTATATATATATATAATCATGACAATTAGAAAACAGAGAGAATCTGAGTGTGGGCATCTGCCACCCAGGGGACGACAATGTCCAACTAAACTGAACTGAGCACCACAGGGCATGCAGGAGAAACATCTGGCCCTGCCCCTTCCCCAGGTGCTGAGGGTCTGTCCAGGAGCTGTGTGGCTGGGGGAGCCTACCCCACATAAGAGATGGGGACTTAGGTTTACACTCACCTGGACATTCAATGGCTGGTCATCAGACAGGTGACTTATGCCTGAAGGAAGATGACCACAATGGTCAGTTCTACTAATGCCCGAGATGCCTTCTACAACCTAAGGAGGGAGACACATTTGACGTGTGCAGTGTAAGGGGAAAATCTATTTCATAATTCTGCCCTCTGAGTCCAGTTCATGCAATAAAAGTTACACATATTTGACTACAATATATATATTTTTTAATTTACAACAAAAGATACCCCAAACAAAGGCAGAGGCAGAAAGTAACTGGGAAAAACATTACTTTAGCTATCACAAGAGTTAATACTCATATGGACAACATATCACAAACTTTTACAAACTTATAATAAAAGTGAAATAACTTGCAGAAAAAGATGGGCAAATCATATTCATAGGCAATTCACAGAGGAGTAAATGCAAGTGATTGATAAACATATTTTTAAAAAATATNGCTGGCAGCATTTATGGACAGCCAGCCACACGCCTACATTTCCAGCATCCAGTGCACAGGGTGCTCACCTGTACAGCTTGCAAGAGAGATGGGATGGGGGGGGGTAAGGCTTTCTGCTGAGGGTCTGGATTCCAAGCATTTTGCAAAACTAAGTCAGTATCATCAGCAATAAACAGTACTCTTTCATATGAAACAATAAGCTGAATTTAGGAGCACCAGAGACTCATCCAGGAAGTAAATGAGATCTATTAGAGTCAATTCAGGTCTGCAGCAGATGACTTGAGGGCAATGCTTAACTTGGTACCAGTAAAGACACTGGACTAGAAATGATCACTACTAGAGAAAAAATACACACACATGCACACACATACGCATATGTGCACAGATATACACATTCACACATGTATGCAGATGTGCACACACATGCATATATGTGTGTGCACACATGTACACATACTTAAAACACATGCACAAACAGGCACACCTATAGTACACACATAGAAATACATGTGCACATGAACATGCACACACATACTCTTTTGCACAGAGATATACATATTCA